GTATAGTTTAATCTCAATAAAAAGAGGCAGGACAGCCAAATTATAAAAAAAAAAATACTCAAAATTTAAAATAGAAAAATAAAAAAATTGAATAAAATTAAAAGCCAATAGAAAAAAATATAAATGTAACAACTTTAATTACAATATACACAAGTAATATAATACTGAATTTCAAAATTTTGCTTATAAAATTTTCTTTTAACAATTTTGCAAAATTTGGTATAAACTATACCTTATTCTACTTTTACTCTAACTATAAATAAGAATTTGATTTTTTATTTGTAAAAATTGGTTTGATTAATATATTACATAAATATATAATTCAATAAATTATACCCGTGTATAAACACACTAAATAAATTAATAAATTTTCTAATAAAATTTATTGTTTAAAATCTATTTTTTTTTAAAAAAAAAAACCATAAAAAACTAGACTAATTTTAATATTTTAACTGCTATTATAATTAAAACTTTTTTTTTTAAAAAAAAAAAGATTACTTAGTAAAGAAATTAATTTACCTTTTTAAAAATACAAAAGCAAAAATTATATATAAACATATCCCACTACGTATCTGATATTTATTACAATTTGCCAAAAAAAAAACTGTAACTTTCCAATCTTGCAATTTGATTGGTCAATCCGCAGTGGAACTATGCTATGCTATACATATAAGATTTGAGCCTGGATATTTGTTTTACAACCATGTCGCGTAATTCAAAACAACAGGAGCAGCGTCAGGCGTTGCGCAACATAACCAATAAAACACCACAGCGGGCGAGAATTCCGTTGGGAGACATAACCAATAAAACACCACGGCTTAAGACAGTCAAGCTTAATAAAGATGAATATAATGATACACCAGAAGTCACGAAGCAACAAAAAAATTCAAAAGACACGTTAGGTGATCGAATAGTGACAAAAAGCACGCAAAAAAATAACATTGAAACTAGAACAATCGACCTTAATGAAATAAAATTAGAAGGAATGAATAAAGTTAAGCACATAGAAAAAGAAATTAATGAGATAAAAGAGGAAAACGACGTTCCCGAAGTAGAATATTGTCCATCGCCAATCGAAGGTTTGTTTGAAAGAATTTTAGAGTTTAAAAATGGGATTATTTTTTCATATATTAAAACCGATTAAAATCATTTAAAGAATTACCCTACGAACCATTGGACGAAGATCTTAAGTTCGGTTGGGAAGCATTACAGTACCCGCCCAGTGTTACTGTGTACGAGTTTGAAAATATGAAATATGATGAACTACCATTTCCAGAGATTGATCCAGATGATTATCGGTCCAGAGAGGTCATTGATGATCATGGCAAGTAAAAAAAAAAGATTTTACCGTTACGCGTTCACTAATTTAATATTAATTTATAAACGGGTTTAAAGAACTATACGGATTTGATAAAGTCATATTCACCGATTATGATTTAGGAGATGAAAGTATAAATGAATATGAGATTTTTCAATTTTAAGGAGCCCGTAATTAATCGTAATTAAATAAAATCAATAGAAAAAAAAATTTAAATATGTATAACGATTAAAACAAAAAATTTAAAAGAAAGCAAGAAAATTAGTAGGATCGAGATTGCAATTAATCGATAACGCCATTCACATGTTCATCATCATCATCATCAAAGTTATTTTCCTGAATTGTTTCACCGGTTTTAGAACTTAAGAGCATAGCCACATCATAATGTTCTTCTTCAAATGCAACTTGGGCAGGCTATAGTCAGTCATGAATCAAATAATCAAATAAGACAATTTTTTAATTTTTTTTTTATTAAAAAAAAAAAATGAAATGAACGTACAGTTTTGCCATCCGAATTGGTGGAAAATGGATCAGCGCCTAGATCAAGCAATTTTTGGGCCATTTCAGCAGTTTCTACCAGATGCAAAGCTGTGTCGCCATCATTATCAGGAAGATTTATGTCGGCACCTTGAGACAAGAGGAATTCAACGAGTTCTATGTGATTATAAGAAGCAGCAGCAGCTAGCGGCGTGTAACCATTGTGATCTTGAATATTTGGTGATATTCCGGTGGATAATAAAACCTTTGCAAAGTATTAAAGAGGAATTTTTGAGAAATAAATACTTAAAATTGATGGATTAATTAATACCTGGACGCGCTCTATATCACCATCGCCTTTTTATAATAAATAAAAAATTTCAGAATTTTTTTGAAAGAAAAGTGGAAACTTTTCGTTAATAGCGAAATGGTTTACCAGCGGCAACCCATATGTTATCATCACCAGTCATGGTTGTCCAGTATATTTGTATAAAAAGTTTATACGGTATGATCGATTTTTTTTTTCAATAGGTTAACATTAAAAATCTATATACATTCAAATTGATAGTCACGTGATTTATGATCATTGTCAACTATATTACGTATAATTGTACTGATTACTGATTGTAGCGATAACTACGGAGTTAACTACGGAGTTAACTACGGAGCTAACTACGGAGTTAACTACGGAGCTATCTACGGAGTTAACTACGGAGCTATCTACGGAGATAACTATAGAGCTACGTAGCTGTAGAGCTAGATGTAGAGCTAGCTGTAGAGCTAACTGTAGAGCCAACTGTAGAGTCAACTACGGAGCCAACTACGGATCTAACTACAGAGCCAACTGCAGAGTTGCTGGTGGTATATACATGGTAATACATGATAATACATGATAATTTTTATGGCCTCTTGGAAATAATTAACATGATTGTCACAAAGATGTTATTAAAGACCAGAATTCTTGTAATAAAGAAAAAAAAACATTACATTGTTTGAATTTTATTGATGTTATTTGATATGCAATTGTTTTATTCAAAATAATATATTTAAAAATTGAAATTTTACAGATATAATAAAGAATGAAAAAAATGTACGAATTAACTTTTGAATAACATCGACATGGGTAAAAAAAAAAAAAAATTTTTAATATTTTACGTATTTATTATTAAATTTAATACGTAGATTAAAAATTTCTACAAGCATTATGACAACATAATAAATAAAATAAATAAACAATGAAATATGAATAACAAATCAGAATTTAAAAAAAAGTTCCTTGTTAATGGCAAAATTCTTTCTGCAATCGATAAGATAATATCTAAAAAAGGATGTTCGGATTTCTCTTATCGTTAGAAACATTTCTAATTAGACGTTTGTGGAATATATTTTTGTCTTTAGTAATGAAGAGGAGTGTATTTTTATGTAGTTTAGTGTAACATTGTATAGTTTGTGAGAATTTTTTATTCTTTTTGTAAGACAAAATTATTTATTGTGTTCAACCGAAAATATGAGCTGTTAAATATGAGCAGTTAAATACGTATGAATATATAGTTTGAAATAGAAAAAAAAAAGATATTATTAGTATATATCTATATATACATACATACATTAAAATTTTTTTTTAAATTAAAATAGAAGCCGGAGCAAATAACACATGTAGGAATGTTGAAGCGCTTTCGGGTGATACTCACCAAAAAAGGCAATATGAATCTATGCGGTTGAATGGGGACACACTCTTTTCCCAATGAGGAGTATGGGTGGCACTATGCTGCAAAAGAATGTATTACTTGGAAGCTCCATCTGGAACAGTGAGCGCACATTCAAGTGGCACTAAGAAACGAAAATGGAAAAAAAGATGTTGAGCAATCGCAACAAGTATATATTTACTGGCCATACAAAAAGTAACGTTCTTGATTATCAATATAATAAATTTAATTGGTTAAAAAAGGATTTAATACAAATTTAATAAATGTTATTAAAACTCGTGATTTGATATATCAAGAAAGATACTTTAAACAATAAGAGTTGGTACCGATCCCTGAATCACAAAGAAGCTCATTTTGGTACGACACCGCGAAACTCATTCCTGCTTTCTCCGCATTCGTTTAGCATCTGCGAGTCTATCAGTTATTATTGCATTATATGTCATTCGATATATCAGGCTTGTTTTAATTATGCTAAGTTTGCTAAGTTTTAATTAATATCAGATATATATCTAATATATCTATCATAATTATTGATCGTATCAGTTGGTGAGTTTAGAATAAAGTTACAAATCATACGAAATCATACAAAATCAACAATTACGTTTTATTTTTTTGTGAAAAAAAAAAATCTTGATAATTTGATAATTATAAATCATATATAAAATAATATAAAAATAATATAAAAGTAATGTAAAAATAATATAAAAATAATATAATAAAAAAATAATAAATATAAATATAGTAAAAATTATAAAGTAAATTTTATATAAAGTTATGTAAAATTATATAAGATTATATAAGTTGTATAGTAAATTATATAAGAAGTATATATACTGTATATAGTAATTTATATGAGTTACAGTATACAAAGTACAAAATAGTATATAAATAAATTGTAATAGTAAATTGTGATAGCAAATTATAGAATTATAGATGAAAAGATTACAGTTTTAAAATAATGTTTATTCTAACGATATAAAAAGCATCTTTTTTAAGAGATTTTGGTTAGTAAGTTTGGTTGTATCACAAATTCTTATCAGGAGAAATGAAGGACATTTCCGGTAATTCGCGCAACCAGTCACAAACTACATGTAATAGATAACGGATTTAGAATGAATAGCATGGTGCAACCTTATTTATAAAACGAAACAATAAGAATACAAAAGGATTGAGCATCCGCTTACTCCGAGTCGATGCAACGTTCGTGTGGCGGTGTTACTTGGTGATGAAAGCGGCATATGTGTATATGTATATATGTATATATGTGTGTATATATGTGTATATATGTGTATATCTGTTGCTGGGAAGTGAAATTTTTAGACTATATTTAATAATGGCATCATGAGTGTTACAATCCAATGTAAAAAAGTAGTTTGATATTCGTTAAACTATTCTAAAAACTGTTGTTTGTATTTTATTCAGGAAATATGTTGATATTTAAAGCGGTGAATACAAAGACAGGGCTACAAATGGGCAAATGTGCATAAAAACAGCCTTTTTTCTTATTTTAATTCATGATAAATTTTGTATTGTTGAGTTTTCAAAGGGCGCTACTTTTTCATCCGGGTTCCCAGTCAACTTCCTAGACTTTTCCGGTTTGCTTACTTGATTTCTACTGTGTGTGAACATAATGATCAATTCGTGATCAATTCTTACACTGTTAACGTTACACCTAATATTGAATAATTGATACGCACTATTGGTATGACTAACAGACCCTTTGGCTGGATTTGGGATTATAAAAATCAAAGACATCCTTTTCCGTCCAATTTGTTTCCCCCTTGCCCCTTTTTTGTTCAAGCCAGCTGTTTGGCACTTTTAATTTTTTTATTTCTCTCAATTTTGCTCTTTTAATTTTCTCTACTCGCTTTTAGCGTTTCTTCCCATATTGAAGCTTGTGACTTGGGAAAATCTTTAAGCTTTTCAAGGAAAAAAAAAAAAAAAAAAAAAGGTATCTTCTTGCCATAATTTTCTTCATTGTTTCCATTGATAGTTTTTTTTTTTTCACTGGTCGAAATGTTCGGATTGGTGAAAAAAAAAAAAAGTATACGCGTTCGCGCTTCCAATTCAGACCATCAATCATTTCTTTGTATGAATGCGATAGATATATTCTTAATTCTTCCCTTATATACTTTATTATATACTTTCCTCGTTCAATTCTCTTCCTTTGCTTAATAATCTTAATAATCTTAATAATCCAAATCATTTTTTCACGTCATCATCTCACATCGCGATGAACCAATCGTTCTCTAATGATTCTTCAATTCAACGCATACATATTTTTTTCTTCTCTTGGTATCCAATAGCCCTTTTATCCCTGCATTCTTACTCTATTTATGATTTCAAGAATATCTTTTTTGCATTATTTTTTCGATATATGGTCTATGCTGGTGGCGCAGCGTTTCATATTGCAGATTATTTACTATCTTGGCTGTAAATTTTCACCTATTATGACCATGCTATCACGTGATACACAATCGATTAGGCTATTTATACTCACCCGTTCTGTTTATTTCCTTTTTTTCCAAAACCTTTTTTTTTTTTTTTATATTTTTTAACGCATATAGACTACCGTAAAACCTTCATACTCGGGTTAAACTAAATACGCGTCACAAACATGAGTGGTCTATCAAGTCCTACCTCCCAACGAAAACAAAGTAATGCTTCAGGTCACAGTGTTGACCTATCCGAACAATCACCTAAAGGAGGTTCTAAACGTGATTATGACGACGAAGACGATGGGGATGATAGTGAAGCAGAAACCGGAAAAAGTGAAAAAAGAGCTGGTCGACGTAAAATAAAAATTGAATATATCGATGATAAAAGCAGACGTCATATTACCTT